ACAACGTTTCATTGAACGAGGCGGTAAACGATGGAGCTCCAGCTCAGCGCTCAGCAACCCGACTCCGAACACCGCTTGGTCGAGTCTTGCAAATCTCAGGTACGATCGTGATCGGTTGCCTACTCTCTTTACACCCCACCGTAAATGAAATGCATTTTGTCACGATGCTGTATGTGGAAAACCCATTTGGATCTTTCAATTGCGCTGGCGGAGTCTGGCGCTGCCGATGCAGGGATATAGTGATAGTAAGGCATCAAGCGGATAGGCTCGTATTGGGGTCGACTCGCCTTCCAAGGGGGTGAAAAGATCTCCGCGGGGGTGGTACAACTGGGTTTCTTCAGCCTTTACCCACGCAAACCCCGTGGACTCGTAGAGTTTTGACATCAATGACTTAATAACAACCGCTCTGCTTCTTCCTGTCAGGCAGTACAGAGTAACTCTGCTCTGCCTGCTTGTGATCTACTATGTATCTTTTCCCCACGTCCTCTTTAGACCTACATCGCCATCTTCACAGCCGAATGTTTCCAATGCCGTATTCCTCGGTTCACTCGTAGAACACCTTGTCATCTCACTGTCGATCTCGTCGCCTCGAGATCTGAGACCCGGCGTGATGAATCTGGTCTGGTATGGTTAATACGTGTTTGATGACTCTCGACGAACATTCCAGACCGGGAGACCATCTCGCCTTCGTCTCTTTCCTTTCGGTACAGGTTCCACTACACGTTTCCAAGTTTTGTTACTCTGTAAACCAGAGGAATGGTTGGAGTCCTGAGCGGTAAACCCGGGCGCAAGCTACGGTCTTTAATCTTGGCGTGACGTTAATATCAGGAGTGTCCCGTGGGGTAGTTATCGAACTCGATTTTCGAAGACTTAGCAGAGTACGCAGTGTTCGGCGTTTACCAGCATTTGTTCGGAAGTGTAGACAGGATCTTGAACACTATCTCTGTTCGCTAAGGATGGAACAACGCTGCTGCGGCGCACTGGTCTGCCATGTGATTCCTTACTCGCCCACCGGGAGCTAATCCACATCTGAAGCCTATCGGGGCCCATCCAGGTCACACCAGCTCCAACATACTTATATCGGGTAATGGTAAGACCACATATAAGACGATACACGGCTCAGACCAAGGCCGTGAATTTCTATACCATGGCATCCAACGACACTGAGTCGGCGGCAGCAGTATTTCTCACCTTGAATAATGTATTCATCCTGCCTATGAGTACTCTGCTCGTGAGATCCTCTCTATTCCATCTCTGTGTTTGTGTCTTCGGTTCTTACAACCATCTACTCCGCTCTTCAGGTCATTTATGCAACTTACGGTAAGTTGGAAGCGTTCAAACCCAAACCTTATCCAGCTAAAGTCCACTCGATAGGCATATACATCGTTGTCTTTGGGTTATCAATCCATGTTTTGACCCGCAGCCGGAAGATCCAGGCCGCACGGAAGCTGTATCTGTGGTGTACCGTTCTCCTTTTCATTTTGGACACCCTCTACGTCGCAGGATACACAATGCAGCAATTTCGTCAAGTCATAACCCAGTATGAAGCTGCGAGAACAAGAAATCTGGATAATCTAATCGAAGACTTGTTCAAAGACCCGGTAATTGACACTGGATTGTGAGTGCCATCTTGCGTATGGTAGCCTTGCTGACGATAGTGCTCAGTGCTATATGGGCTATTGCCGTGATCTTGATGAAGTGCGCCTTCAAGTTTGATAGTACCTACAATCCGAGGATCTCACTTATCTCTGTTTATGCTAGTGCGGTTGCGGATTGCACATTGGTGAGCTTGTCCACTCATAGAACGTTGGAACAGTACCTGACGTATACGCAAGGTTCATCGTTGCTACGTTGTTTGGAATTCAAGGAAGTTAGTTCTCTATCCTTTGGCTTTCTTTTCGTTTGCAATCAATGGTGTGCATCCCGCCTCATTTTTGTATCTTGAAACGGTGGAGCTCAACGCCCTCAACCAAAGCTATCCTACTCGGAGCCGGTATCCCGGCCCTCGTGGGATACTTTACACAAGCGACTCTTCGTACATTGGCAAATGATGTCAACAGCGCAGCTTTTGTTGCAGCGGCGTGTTTCAATTTTATCTTGACGCTGATGACAGGTATGTTCAATTTCATTTTCCCACCAAGTCATGGCCTGAACGAGCGCTTCAGCCGGACGTATCTGGTGGATCAGTCGTGAGGCTCGAAACATTATGGGAAAGGACATCGACTCGCAATATAAGACAGTCGTGAAAATTGTGTGCGTGTGTATTCTCGCCTGCCCGACTTGTCTTTACAAAGATACTGATCAATGTAATCTCTCATTCATCCATCTAGTATCGAGTCTGGGCTCTTATACTCAACGCCTCTCTTGATTGTGTTTATCTATCAGCTCGTCGTTGGTGGATTTTCCGTTCCTTTCGATCCTACGGTTATTCCCGCCCAGCTATCAGTTTGTAGACCACTTTGATTGACTTGATTCATGAACTGATTATGTTCTATCTGCAGTGTCTTGCTCCCACGATTATTATCGTTAGGGCAGGGTACAATAAATCCGTCGAGAACGTACATCAAGTCATTTCAACATTCCATGCGGCCCCTGGGGAGGACCAGTCCACTACAATCGGCTCGAAGGGTGATTTTCGCCGAGGGAAGCCGGAGAAAATGGCCTGAAACCGAGTCACAATTAGTATTCATCAATACGAGTAAATTGATGTATGATACCAAGGAAAACAATATCACCTCAGTTCGTAAGGGTTGAACAAAGGCGGCTTTTTGTGTCCCGATCGGATAACTAGCGACGGCTTCCCAGCGTCAATTTGTAGCTCAAATGAAGAGGATGGGAAACTTGAGTACGAGGCAAAGGAGGAGACCACGAAAGATACACTACTAAACGTTCCATCCAGAGGCTGGCGATCACGGGCACCTCGATCACCGAGAATGATATTCTATTTCATGAATGGCGTATTCCTCTCGACTTCAGAGTTCTTAAAATAGCCCCGGGGAAGCCCAATCGCCGCTCGGTAAACTCCCGACTGTTCTGAATATTGTATCAGAGCCACCTACATAATTGTAATTCGACAGATAATTATAGCGCACACAGATAGCCTTCAAGCCACTCGGTCGGTCCCACAAAGCTGAAGGTAATGAGCAAATGATAGATGACAACCTCGGAGTGTGTACCCAGTCTCGAGAGGTATAAAACCCTCCATAATTATCGTGCACAAGGGATCTTACGCCTTCAACTCGACCTCATTTCCATGTCTCTGCTCGCCCCTGCACCTGCTCCGCCCTCCAAACTGGGTATCTACCGTGTTCTCTCATCTCGCGCGGGAGTTCATGTCTCTCCCTTATGTCTCGGTGCGATGAGCATTGGGGACAAGTGGGGTTCGTTCATGGGAGTCATGGATAAAGACTCTAGTTTCAAGCTGTTGGATGCTTACTTCGACAAGGGAGGTAACTTTATTGATACCGCCAATGGATAGTACGTCTTCACGTCCAGCATTCATTCGTATCAACTCTATTTCTGAATGTTGAGTCTCAGTCAAGAAGAAAGCTCGGAAGAGTTTATCGGCGAGTAGGCAGAAAAACGTGGAATCAGAGACCAAATCTTCATTGCCACCAAGGTTGGCCGTGGCCCTCGACCTGGTGACCACAATGTACTGATCTCGATTCCTAGTTCACATCGCTATACAAACGACGTGACCCGACCGTTTCACACAAAGTGAACTACTGCGGCAACAATGCGAAGAGTATGCACGTTAGCGTCCACGCAAGTCTGAAGAAACTCCGTACAGACTACATCGACCTTCTATACGTTCACTGGTGGGACTACGAGACCTCCATCGAGGAGGTCATGGATAGTCTCCATAACCTCGTCGTACAAGGGAAAGTTTTATATCTGGTGAGAGCGAGACCTCCGTTTCCATTCGATCCTGACTCTAATGAATCACGATAAGGGTATCTCTGACACTCCGGCATGGATAGTCGCTCATGCTAACCAATACGCCAAGTTGACTGGGAAGACACCGTTTACGGTGTACCAGGGAGAGTGGAGTGTTCTAAAGAGGTCATTCGAGAGGGATATTATTCCGATGGCCCGTTCGTACGGTTAGTATCAGCCCCTTGCGATCCTCCTGAACCTCACCTCATATATCGTTTCAGGCATGGCACTCGCCCCGTGGGGCATTCTTGGTGGTGGTAAATTGAGAACGGACGCTGAGGAGGAACGAAGGGAACAGACCGGGGAGGAAGGACGTAAAGTCTTCACGGATGAGTGGCGCCGAAACCCAGATGAAGTAGCTATAAGCCGGGCACTCGAAAAGGCAGCTGATGAGATTGGTGCAAAGAGTATAACCTCTGGTGAGCCTTCCTCTAGCCGACACATGGATATCACGCAATGACATCTTGAGACATGTAGTTGCCATCGTGTATGTTATGCAAAAGACCACTTATGTCTTTCCAATTATCGGCGGCCGGAAAGTGGAACATCTCGAGCAGAATCTAGAAGCCCTGGATATAACTCTGACCCCCGAGCAGATCAAATTTTTGGAGAGCAAAATCCCATTCGATCTCGGATTCCCCATGAACACCTTCGTGAGTATTCGAGCTACTACCTGACTCGGAGTATAATTCACGAGCCATCCTCTTTAGGAAACCGGAAACGAGCCAAACGGAAGCTTCCGAATGAGATTGGCTGGTCACTACCAGAGGATGCTGCCCATTCAGCCACTCAATGCACCTGTACTCGATACTTAGAAGTAAAGCTCGGGGTAGAGTATAAGTCAATGCTGCAAAATGTATTCACATAGCCGTCACCTCTTAAAGAGTGACCTTCCCGCTCAAAGTCTTGGGATCCTTTGGTGGGAGTTGCCTAAATTTACTGAGTGACTGAGCCAAAGACGTGGATAAACAAGACCTGTTCAGGTGTGTACAGTGTTGCCCAGGGGAGAAGGGTCTTATCATGCCGGGAGGGGACATATTCCCTGCACTGATTGGGTCATCAACTCCGTTATGGTGTAGTGGCTAACATTATCGCCTCTCATGAGTGCGCGATAGCCCAGGGTTCGATTCCCTGTAACGGAATACAGCGTATTCTGAGATTAGATTTTTTCTTTGTGTTTCGTCAGTTATCACAGTCATTTGGGTGCCAAAAGCATGTATGTATGCATCTGGTATTTAGCGATGGTACCCTCATAAATAATGATACACTACGAAAGCCAGGAGGACTCTGAAATTCCTGGCCAGATTGGCAGGTTTCCTGCCAAAGGGCTGTCGCGTTGAACAGGACTGGATAAGTAGTACTTAGCGGGTCAGTAAGCGACATCCTTGTGTATCGAATACGGGTCGTGAACACACTTACCACTTTCAAGACAAAACGCGCCTCCCGAGTCTCACAGCGACGCTTCTCTTCGCTACCAGCACTATCGAGCAGGGCGACGCGTCTGTCACGAACGTAAAAGCCCATCTCGCCTACCAGGCCATTCGAGAAGCCGATCTGAGCGTTCAATAGGGATAAGGAGTCAGATTTAGTTCACGGAAAGTGGAGAACGGACGGGCAAAGATTCCGGAGAAACGACGAGGATCATACCTGTGTCATTTACAGCACATATTTCGAGGCTCCTTGAGATAAGCACTGTATACGGGAGAGGCGAGTAAAGGAGGAAACACATTAGTACCTAAAGAACATACAAAAGCTCAAAACCAATTTCACCTTCATGCATCTCCTGCATGGCACACCAGCACCGAACCGTTTAGAAAATCGTGTGGGTGGCATCGTCTCTATCCTCTGGGGTGATCCCGAAAGGTCCTCGAAAAGCTTAGAGACCGTGGTACGAGTGGTCAGCGACAAATGACGAGAACGGCGGATGGCGACGCTACTTACCAGAGAAATACAGCCACGCCTCGAACCGCGACTTGGCCAAGAGGTTACATCGCTCATCGCGGCATCGCCAACGTCAATACCAATGAAGTGGCTAGACAACGCATCGCTGATGGCGGGGCCGCGGGGTTGTAGACTCGGAGACGAACGTAGAGTGTAGGTTCGGGTGTCAAGATGTTATTGACCGGGCAATCAGCCCAAAGGGACTCGGAGCGGTGCCAGGTGCAGGTTTGGTGTGAGCCCAATCTTCTTCCCTGAAAGACTGAGGATCGATCGCAATGACATGCCTCCTGGAAAGGAAATATTGGCAGTGAGAAGCGAGAAAAGAGGCAAAATCAGGAAGGAGGTGCTCACCGAAGCAGTGCAACTACTCCCTCATCAGCTTGACCGGCTACCACATCAACATCTCGAATACAATCGCTGGTGTGAATAATCCTGTCGAAGTACTGTCGAGGTTTCCATCCGTTTATCATGGGTAGTGCAACGACGTGGAGGACGGTGTCAACTAAGGTATCCAGGCAAAGGGAGACCTGATCGGTCAGGCAGTCAGCACTTTGGAATTGCAGTTCGAGAACGATAAAGAAGAGTGCCAGAGGTACAAGCACGGGATAGAGAGGACTGGATTGAGAAAGAGAGGAAGGGTACTCACTTTGACTGGTACCTCGTCTCGTGCTGGATGGACTTGGCCAGGTAAATCAGAGGTCACGAGGTCTGCATGTGGGCGACGTATGGTTGTGATAACTCTGTGGAATCATACATTAGTAATGCGACCAAGGTGGTAAAAGGGTAGAACGCACCTGTCGGGTTTCGAGAGATCCATAAAGGGCGGTTCAGATGGTTCAGATGGAGTGTCTGAAGACCTCCTGCGCGATCTGATTCTGAAGCTTTGCACGGCAGCAAATTTTTTTCGATTGTGTATAGCCCATCTTCGTATGACAATCTCTTGAAATCCAAATAGCGATTGAAAGGAGACAACAAACGTACCTCTCTAAGACCTTGACTCTCCCCAGCTAACTTCCAGTCTAACGTGCCATGTAAATTCGATAGTTGTATCTGATTTTTCAGGGTCTCGAGGTGGCATAGTACGAAGCCGCGTTGGTTAGTTAACCCTCTATCAATTAAGTTCAGATAACTCGTGAGTAGACTATACGCAAAAACAATTGAAAGAATGAACGAACCGAGACCATGAAGCACAGTCTGCTGAGACTTGATGACGAGTTTCGATAAGTTTCGTCCTATTGATAGGGTCGAAAGGAAGAGTTGTAGGGGAACAAGCTAGGAGGACAGATCGAAGAAGAAACAGTGCAAACTGCAAAGCAGAAGCGAGTCCAGCAGGTGATTTGTTTGACGGTGATTGGCATCAGCTTTGGGTTCGATTTGACGTCATCTCCGCCTGAAATTCATGGTTTCAGACAGGGGTAATTTCCTCCTTTTTTTCACAGCAACTAGCACCGCAGCGGCGCAGGACCGCCAAATCTCGAGGGCTATTTAATTCAACTCTCTTTCCTCCGTTAAATTACCCACTGAAACCAAACCCCAACCGTTCAAAATGCCGGACACACAGCACAAGACCCCGAATTTCCACGCGCGGGAAATGTGTAGAAAACCCTCAGTTTCCCTAAGATTATCGTGAAGTTCTAGCCGAATAATCTGGATTGAAAATGTACCATAATTATACGCTATTCAATGAATTCTCGTAACATTATGGACATGTTTTTGACTGATTTTTTGTACTACCCAAATGATTCTACGGTTCTACCGTCGCGCACACCCTCCAGTTATTGTACTCTGCTCGACGTACGGGGCTCTGGGATGCTGGCAGTGAAGATAGATATCGTGATTGATGACTTAATAATGACAGCAAAGCCGTACAAACACCAAACAGAGTGACAGCAGTCCTTTGGGGACACCATATCAAACAGTCGATGCCCCATCCAGTTCGGCCAACCACCTTCATTTTTCCTTCCACTACTGCACCAGAAAATAGCTCTACTCCTGCTCCAACTGTACCGAGTCCTCAGGTACCTCAGTTTGCTATTGATCCCCGCCTTCTATCCGAGAAAACCCCAGTAATGGCTGCCGAGAATAGATCGTCGGGCGGAGGAAGAGGAATGGAAAAAGTGCAGTTTATTGCTGAGCTTAACAATGCACGGGAAGACATCAAGACCTTGAAGAATAAGACCAGCGCTCTAGAAGACGAGCTGGCGCTCTTGAAGAATGCCCGGGCTCGTGAGGCGAAGGATGCCGAAGATACTCGTGAAAAGCTGGTGTTGGTTCTTGTCTTCTTCAGGGCCTGGTAGAGGTACTATATCTGCTAGTACATCAATTCCTATCATGAGATTCCGAGAATAAACTTCATACCGTCCTGACAATTCCCAACATTATCATCACTAGACCACCAGTCCATAATGGGGTCGCGTTCATCATCTAGAACCATCACAAGGTCATCTGAACGATGGATTAGATATTTGATGAAGAGGTATAGAAGAATTTTGGCGCACCATGAGTTTCCTGATCCTGATTCCACCAGTCGTCATCTTGCACGTTCATACTTTCCTCCTCGGCTCCAGTATTCGTATCCAAGTCATCAAGCGGTTGTCTAGTCCCAAGTCCAACTGGATTTTCCAGGATATCCAACTGAGGAGATATGCGGGCAGGCTGCAGTGACGGCCAATTCTCTTGCTTTCTAGCATCACCGTAATTCTTCAAGTGGAGATTAATGACCTGGCGCGTCTGATATTCGTATCCGATGGCTGAGCGTGCACATCTGGTGCAGTAACATGGGAAGTGGTTGGGCATTCGACGTGGTGGAAGGCGACAAGCGTGCGCCAGCTCACGTATACGTACGGCATGTCAGAGATTTGTTGTGAAGTCCAGACTCTCACGCGCTGAATTCGGTTCCCGTATGTTTTTGAGAGAAGAAAATTTGATTGGCAAGAAACATACAGAAAATATGGGACAATGCTAGATTATGAAAGGTTATACGCACGCGATAATTTGGCGTCTTGTGCTGTGACAGCAACCATCCCGAGAAAACTCAAGATCTCCCGCCCTCGTACGACACTCTGGGAAGCTCATCTCGCGGTCAAGGTCATATTCGAGGTCGTTCTATTGAAGACGAAAAAGGCGAGGAAGAAGACAGGCTCTTACAGCGTCCAGATTGGCTGAAGTACTCCGAAGGTTCATCAGTATCGACACCTCGTTCTAGTGGTAAAGGATCGGGAAGTGCACACTCAAACCACGTCACTTGGAAAGGAAAGATAATGAGTCGGTTTGGTTTGCCGAGCAACACTTCCAAAGACATCCTTCAGACCGTACAGAGCATTATCCAGGATCTTGTCATCCAATATAGCTCGACCTCAGCTACAGATTCGGGCGATCTCGACGAAGAGAATTGCAGGGGAATCCTTGAAAGCTGTCACGATGCTTGTTATCGACACCCACACGCCTCTCCTCTCTAGGATATCTTAAACGACAAATTCATCGAAGGGCACACACCCATGTACTGGACTATGGTCAATCGACCCATTACTACCCCCGATTCGACACAAGCACCCGTTTCATCCCTGCTCACTGTTCTCTTATCCTACGCTTCACCCCTTTCGCCCACCGCTCGATCGGATATGGAAGCCGCTTGTATGGAAATCTCCGACAACAGACTATACAACTACCTCAAATTCCACCCCGACTACGCACCCGGACTCACACTCAAAAGCCAAATGGTCTTTGGCACCCACATGCTTGCCATCCCCGACGAAATCAAAGTATCCTATCTTCCAGACGAGACGCAAGGAGATCGAGGATTCAAAGTCGAGATGCGGCTCATTCAGCTCGTTAGGAGGATCCGTGTCGAAGGGGCTGTGGTGGTGACTTTCATCGCGAGAGGTACGTACTTTGATTCTCATTATCCGTAATGGTCAACTGATACTCCAAACCAGAGAGACTGTGGTACTTCGCCCTCGGCCACAACATCAAAGAGGGCTTCCGCTACTTGGCTCACCGCCCTGAACGACAACCCTATATTTACGTCGGTTTGAACGATACGTCCGCCGAGACACCATTAGATTCAAAACTCTGGATTAGTCGAGGTGGAACAGAGGAGAGTCTCCGTCTGCAATCGAAGAATGTCGTGCCAACAGGGTATCTGAATGGATTGAGCTGGAACGTTCAGAACTGGGTACAAGAGTGAGTGTCACCTGTTGGT